GCAAACAGAAAACTTCTCCTTTTTATTTCAAATGTAAAAACAGGTTCTGAATTGCACTTTTTCATTCTCTCTTCCATATTGGTATTTTTTACGCCTCAACAAACAAGCATTGGCTAAAATGGCACTTTTCAAGCTTGTTGATGCTGATTTTGTTTTCTGTTTCCTGAAAACACAAACGTTTAAAGATGGTGTAAAAAAAAAAGGATTCAAGAATAATAATAATAGAAAAACAAACAAAAAAACTCAAAATTGGACAAAAAGAAACGTTAAAATGCGCTGTCTGCACATTTGTTTCAACAATACTATTGTTATCACATTACCTTCACCAAACAAAGCTAGGGATACGTGGGTGCTTCCAATAGTACACCGATCCACCCCGACACATTACAGATGCGTGGAGCTTTTTGTTCAATAACAGGAGGCCAAAGGAATCATTTTGGTTCCCAAAGTTTGTTTAAAAAACCAAACCAAACAAAAAACCAAACAAAAAAAGACCACGACCGTTTCTTAATACCCCTGAATTTTTTGATCGGATCACTGACCTGCACAATTCAATACAATTTCAGAGTTATTGAGCTAATTTCAAAACTATTCGTCTTAGCATGCAGAAAGGGGGAAAATTCCCTTTGCGCTTATTGCTGCTCACAGTTAGTTCAAACCCAAAGTCCTCACCTATAAAAGGAAAAAAAAATAATACTAATCTAAGATTCTCCCTTGAAACAATGAAAGGCACTACTGGTCAGAAACGAAGAACTAAACAAACCAAAAATCAAAAGTAGCCCCAGCTACACTTTTCTCAGTGACGGCCTGTCTTCTTTCTGAGTCTTGATTCTTTTCGACCAAAACGGTGTACCAAGATTTGGCACGATAAACAAAGAGAGAACGAAGCAATTCCAATTTGGAATTTAATTGTCGCCCTTGCAGAGAATTCTGAAGGCCAGTGATCTCGTTTCAGTGGAACGCCCTCGGTAAGATGCTAGGAAAAGCATGTCACATCACTCCAATTTTTCCCATAACACACCTTACCTATTTGCATCAGAGCGTTGTCAAGTTTCATTGCGTAATTTTGAACTATTCCTAGGAATAATAAATACATGAAAAAACCCCAGAATTTGATCACCCTGGATTTTTGTAAAGAACATGGCAGTAGAAGAAACATAAAAGAAAAACAACAGCATAACATGTAGAATGTGACAAAACAAGTTAAAAATGGTTATTAGATGGAGAAAAGTCTTGTGGACTGAGTCATAATAGTACATTGGTGGTTTGTGGAGCATTTACTGGAATAAACGATTTCTGTTATAGAAATTCAGATAATTATTGAGTACATGGTAAAGTCCTGTAGCCTACATTGAATAACTCAAACCATAGTACTATCATGCTTTCCTATGAGGTTAATAATATTTTTTTATATTCCTATATAATAAAAGTGCACAAATTATAAGAACTAAAAAAAAAGTTAAAACAAAAAAGATGAGACCAAAGAAAAACAGCTTGTTGATTTACACTGAGAAACAACCACATGTCCCCTGGCTTCTCATTGGAAGGTTTCATTAGCCAATCACAATCCCTGAATCTCAAGTTCACTGGACTTGTGAGAAATGTGCTTCCAGCAGCGACGTATAGGTACGAGGCTGAGTGTCATTCTAATATTGGCCACATTTTAGCTCTGGAAAGCAGAGGGGAGGACAGCCCATCTGAGCTAAAATCTCCAGCTATGCAGCATTTTCATTTAGTCGATGGAGAGTTTTTTTTGTTATGTCCAAACAGCCTACGTTGCTAACCCTTTTTGCCGAGCCCAATCAGCCGCGAGAGAGAGGACCTTGTGTTGGTACTTCGTCGTCCACGCAGAATTACAGTAAATTACTGCAAAATGGAGAAACACAAGTGATCAGCATCATTAGCATTCTGGTTATTTGTTAGCAAGGTTAGCCGGGGCCACGCAGACGGAGGGGATGGAGGCTGGGGTTAGTCGAAGCGGCAGGCGGGCAATGTTAGGAGCTCCAAGCTATCCAAATGTTGCCTCAAGAGGTTCACTTTTACTGCCCAGAAGAGCCGGTGTGTAAGCAAAAACTATGGTGCAGTTAGGAAGCCGCAGACTCACAAGTACCAGGATCTTTTATTCAGGGGAGCACGCTGAAGCCATGTCGGACCACCCATGTCCAGGGACATGGGATTTTCTCATATGCCATGCAGGTTTAATGAGAAATGAGTTATGCTCTGACATGCAGGCTTACAAGAAATCAGAAACAAGATGCATAAAGTGAAGTTAAACTTAGAGGTGACGAGGGAGAAGCCTGCAGGAAGAGGTAGGAGGAGCTTCATAGGTGGCATACTGTAATGACACCGGATAGGTCAGACATTGATTTCCAAGATCGAGGGAGCGGGGGATTCTAGTCACAATCACATCCTGAGATCTACCTACTCCGTAGTGAATCCACAAAGCATATACAAGGGACAAGGGTTGGGTTGTAAGTTGAATCAGTGTCACCCGGCTGACTGAGCGACGGCTTGTTGGTTTTTTCCCCTCCAAATATCAACATCTAGGAGGAAACTCCTAGTCGTTTCTCATCACAGAATCAGAGGGAGCTCTCCGCCAGACATCTGGCTTTCTTCACCAGCATGTCTGACTTTCTTATCTGCTCTCTCGGGAGCTGGTTTACAACATGAGTAAGTCTGCCTCCACTACTCCCCCTAACCTTTTTCTTCGTCAGCGCAAACTGATAGGAAAATGAATGCGTCTCCTTTTTTTTAAGTGAGTCTCAAACAAAAGAGTGACTGACCTCTAAGGAGGCCGTTTTGCTCTTTTTCTCTAACGCGTACGATAGCTTTGTCTCCATGCTGTGTGCTACGGATGCACGGGTCAAGCAGGGTTGACCGCTGACATTTTAATAAATGGCGATTCCACTTTGAAAGAAGGGAATACTGTAGAGTAGGAACCTGCAAGATCATAACCTGAACACGATCATATTAAGAATATAGAGTTTCACTATCGCTTTGTTGTGGTAGAAAATGCTCTTTTTTAGAAATCTTGCAGGAATTCCTCACATCAACCCTGCTTTTAGCATCATAAAGCTTATGCGTCTATGATCCACGAGCAGACAATAGATTTATTTAACACAAGCCCCACTTTTTTTTTGTATTTGCTGAATACTAGCTTGCAAGAGTTTAAAGCTATTGTCAATACTAAAACAGCATGTTGTTTTGTCCTCACACACCAAACAACATGAGAATTAAAACAAAAAAAGGGGGGGGTATAAAAGCCCTCCATCGGAAATGGTTATAAACATAATACACACCCGAGGGCCCTTCACTTCAACACTGAGTTATACACACAGGCAAAAACCGGCAACACGGCGTATGCGAGGACTTTACCTGACAAAGATATTCAGAGGGTCATTTTCCCCATAACTTCTCATTCTAGTTAAAGGGTGAGTGGCGATGCTGGGGGAGCAAGCTGCTGACAATCTACAAGAGAGAAGGTCGTTACAGAGACCAAGCAACAAGACACAAGATCAGAAACGTTGGAGGAAGGTTGTTGTTTTTTTCCAGCCTTGTAACTGAATGAAATGACTTGTCAGCTCTGAGCGATCCCCCAAAAGTAGAGCAGGGAGACTGTAGATGGGGTAGCTGAGACATAAGGACAGGGCTTTACATCAACCGAGAGAGAAAAAACTCTTGTGTTTGGGTCGACAGGCACTTTTGCCGAGTGGACTTGGTTTTGTTTGCAAATTCATTATCGAGAAGTGAGAACCATTTTGATTTGTGCTCTTCTAGGATTTGCTCAATGTCTAGAAAACATTTGAATAAAACTATATTGTATCTCTGTTCACAGTAATTCTTTCACCCATTTAAACTGATGTAGGAACCTGAGGCACCTGTGCTGAAGTGCACTTAATTTAGATGTGAAGATAGATTTGTCAAACGTTCTCCTGTAGCATTGCTCTGAATGAATCCATTGCAACATTATGGGTCACATGGAACACATACTGAAGCCCTCCTGTATTTTACCATCCACCAATTAATCAACTCTTGTTTTTACAATGTAGAGCCCTGTAGAACATGAGTTCACCTCATACCAAACACCTGATGACAAAAAACAGTTCAAAAGCTCATAAGCGTTTTTAGCTGCAAAGCCATGCGATTCTACCGACCGTATTGTATTGGTGTGCTAGCGTCACAGCTTTAAAAAGATCCTGAAATAAACACCTGTGGTCACAGGTGCTCCTTTTTCTGCCCATACAATTCCAATACAAAACCAAAAACCCCTTTTCTGTCTTTTGAATTTCTATGTAGAATTATATTATGCTCCCCTAGCCACAAAGCAGAGGGAGCTTGCATATCTTAGTTCATTTTTCTTGCTGTAAACATCAAAGAGTCACTTGATTACAAGTGTGCCGCTGGGCACTGGTCAGTCCCGAACGAGGACGGAAAAGGAAGGAGAAAGGTACGGGCTTTCTTTTTTTTTAAAGGAGCACCAATGCCGACAGACAAGCCAAAAAACAGAGGATGTTACGCTTTAAGTCATAAGACTATCAGAGACACATCATCTTTACAAACCACCACCACCCCCACCCCCCCAGCCACGATGTGTTTCTGTTACCAGGCAAGCAGCCCAGTGGGGGCCGGAGCAGACAAGCATAGAAGCTGCCACCTTTCACATCATATGCACAGCACTGTGACAACGGAAAGAATAGACACTCCATAACATCCACAATCCCCCCCCCCCCCCCATAAAACCAGGGCCCTTTTAAAACCACATGCCAGATATGTCTACTACAGTCCAAACGTCTAGTGCACAATGTACACCCCCCTGCATTCCCCTAAGCGTTTACAGTAGCACACAGGAGCGGCTGGTTAGTGAGGCGGCGGCCCCTAGAGGAGCGCGGGCCGGCCAGGGAGCGAAGCGAGCGAGTGGGGCTCTTTAACACTAAGGCAGGGAGGGTTCTGCCCCCCTCCCCTCTGTACACAGCAGTCCGTGCGGGCGTCCGGGCCGCCTCTCAGTCGCAGTAGATCTTGTACTTCTCGCTGCAGAAGACCACGGGGCCTCCCAGGATGCCGTTGGGGATGGCGTTGCTGTGCTCGGGCCGGCCGGAGCCGGAGCAGGTGAGGCTCTGACTTACGTGGGGGTTGCCGGTGGCGGTGCCGGCGGCTTTGCTGCGAGCTTTGGACCGGCCCCCCCTGCCCCCCGGGCGGGTCTGCTCGTGATCGAACTCCAGGTCTTCGAGGCGCTGCGTGAGGGCCAGCTTCTGCTGGATGGCCATGCGCAGCAGGGAGTTCAGGGTCTTCTTCTCATCCTCCGCCGCTGCCAGCTGCCTCTGCATCTCCTCCAGCTGGGTCACGTATTCGTCACACCTGCAGGAGACACACGGGCAGAGAAAACAGCTGAGCTCGGTGTGCATTTGCTCTCTTTAAACTGGAGGTGAGATGAACTGGCAAGAGGTTTTTTTGTTTAGTGCCACCCCTCCAAACCTCCAAAACAGTTTAGAGGTTTTTGCTCCAAAGGAGGACGCGGGACTTATATAACATATGGCAAAACTACAACATCAAATGCACAACTCACGTCTGAGATACTGACACCAACTGAATGAGAGGTTATAAGTGCCCTCTCCCTTTTTTGCAGTTATGTATGACACCACCAGATGGAGCAATGGAACCATGTGGTGCAGTCCTTGGACAGCAGAAGAGCTGCTGCATTATCAACCTTTAACAACAGTCTCCTTCACCAAATTCTTCACCAAATGTTTCCACAAATCAGTTTTTAGCAAACAGAGTAAATATTTTCAACACAGCAGTGGATTCCCTCCACATCCGCCATCACTTTGCAATTGGAAAACTGACGGGTTCCGTTCTGGACCAGAGGCTGCCGTTGCAAATGCTCATAACAGCGACACAGTAAGCCCTTATGAGCAGGTGAGACATGAATCAGTGTATGTGCAGTAAAAGGCAGATCCCACCCACACAGGAAAACAGCTTTGACCTCAGGGGTCATTGAGGAGATCTACCCTGCATCACCTGAAGAACCGGCTATGGACAGAAGGAAAATGAACACACAGGAAGGGAGGAATGTGAGCAGTTGCTCCTGGGAACTATTGGAACCTGATCTTCACTTCTCAAGTTATAAAAATCACCTCAATCGACCTTTCCATCTCACATCGGGGTGCCAAATGCACAAGATATGAGGACTACTTTCCATTCTCCACCACTGGGTGCTGCACTGCGGCATCATTACCTGCGCTCAGTGTCCCTCCATGTGTGTGTGTGTGTGAATATCAAACTGGACAGGTATGAAAACTGGGTCATCTGACAGGTTTTCAAGAGGAAGTGCCTATCTCCACTCTGCATCTGCTGCTGTGGAGCTCATGTTTAATTTCCATCCTCTTTCTGCTCTCATAATGCCTCTCAAGCCCCATCATGTCGTTACTGCCTCTTCAGTTAATCTGTCTGCACCAGCCACTTTCTCTTGCCCAATCTTGCTCATCAATACTTTCGGTAATGGGGGACACACCTCTGTGCAGGGAAGGGTTGATCATGACACGCTTGTCCTCCAAACGAACAGAACAATTCAAAATGTAATTCACCTTGCAGGCAGCCTCACCCTGCAACCTTTGATTTATCATCTAATTGAGCTTTTACTTTGTTTGGGAGGATCCTTTCTTTGGCTATATTCCACAAACTGTGAAAACAGAAAACATGTACCATCCAGCTTTGTTGCTGTCAATTTTGTCGTCGGGATCTTAGCAGGACGACACTGAGTCGTTTCATTCTACATTAGTTTGAATTAAATTCAGGTGACAATTTACAGTTTCAGTCTGATTTTTTTTTTCTAAATAAGGGCAAAAAGAAATTAAAAGAAAACACAAATAAATCTACAAAGAACAGATTGGAAAAAAAAAACTTTCAATGTAAATTTCTGAAGGCAGAGTCAAAAGCCCATTGGCAGGCGCAGATGTTTTTGTTGTATGCGGTGTTGCACGTGGCCGCGGGCCACATGAACTCTGCCCCTGCCGGACCACCATACGAACATGAACCACGTCCTCCCCTCTTGTGTGTGCAGCCTGATTCCCTGTGGGACACACACCCAGACAAAGGGGATCAGTGCTACTTCATTAAACCCTGTATGAGCGCAGGGGGCGGCTGAGGGTGTGGGGTGCTGGTGGAGTTCAGTCAGTCCTGTTTGGGTGTGGGAGGCCGTGCAACTTTCCCGGGAAAAAAAGAAGGGTCTATTCTCCTGATTCGGGTGGGGGTACAAAAGGAGACTTTTAGGCCGGCTGATGGGGCGGTGCAGGACAATGGATGAAGCAAACCAGGACGTGGCTGCTGGTCCGCTCAGCTTGAAAAGTTGTTGCCTTCAAAACTTCGATGAAAAAAAACATGCTACATGCAATCTTGGTGGATATTTACTGTATCTGGTGGGATTGAACCGTTGTTGCTGTTTAAAACCATCACTCGGAGTGAGGGGCTTTACAGAACACACAGGAAAAAGTCTGCAGACATAGTCTGGTCTAAGGCTTGATTTGTCATGGTAGGAGCAGATAGGAGAGAGGCGGGGGAGGTTAGAGCATCATGAAAATGGATGATGGAAAGATAGCACAACAGACAACAACACAGCTCCAGACTTGACTGTTAAGAAGTCGAAGCAGGAGGTGCTAGCTTGCCGAGGCATGTCTTTGGAATGTTAGAGGCAGAGCTTACTGTTAACATGACACCAGAGACTGCAGCTGTGGAGGCGCAGACACAGAGAGAAAGACACAAATATGCTGCCTGGAACTCCTCTCTGATATTCTCACAGCACCAGAGTGTCCCTCCGTATGTGCAATCCAATTTCAAGTAACTACATTTAAGTAGGGCACAGATTGTAGAGCTAAATCACACAAAAACTCACAAAAGAAAAACATTCTCTCCCCTCGTTCCTCTTTGTGTAGGGGAACATCATTTGTGACTGAATGTTTTTCCCATCTCAGAAATCCACCTTTACAGAGATTGGGAGGTGATTACCATGGGAAACTGGGTTTGTGTAGTGGGATTTAACAGAAAGCCTGCGCCTTCCTCTCTTTCTTCACAAGACAAGTAGACAACCGGGTGTTCGGTGGTGAGGAAGGACGGAAGAGGGACGGGGGGTATAAGAAGGGGGAGTGTGGGAAACCTCACTCAGGCAAGTCCCCCAGCCTCTCAAAGAGTCCCCTGACCCAACTCTGTGCGCTATAGGACAAAATTTACATACCAATGCATGAATCCCATAAACAGACTGAATGTAACTCCACAAAAGTGGGGAGCGACTGGGGTCCGGGGCTCAGGGACAGTGGCGTCCATGAAAGCGCTTTGGCCACATGAGAGGAAAAGCATGTTTTCATGCCAGTGGCAAAATGAAAGTTCACTGCATTAAAAAGCCTCTCATCCAGAGTGAAAATGGAGTTACTTCAGCAAGTCAACAAGAAGGTAATGCCAGTAAGATAAACACCTCTGACCACCCCACCTCATGCAAAATCTGAGCAATGCTGTCCATTTCAAAACAGCACCAACAGGAAATCACCGTTTTATTGAAAAATAATTCAAGATGTACCGATAGCTCCATCTACCCGTAAACACTTTGTCTTGCACGAGCATGTAAACGCACATAAACAAACAAGCAGTGTGTGAGCGCTTAGTCTACGATGTGTTAAAGGCATAATCCAGACCAATCTGAGGTGGGATTATGGGCGGAACCTTTGACCTGCTTCTTTTGGGAATCAGAAAAGATTAGTGAGTGTGTCGGCCCATGTGATCCTCCACACTCTCAGTCACCAGTAAACAAAATGCTGAGGAGACACATTTAAGCAATACCCAGAAGGGGCTCATTGTACACTGAGTATTCTGTATCTGTGCCGATTGGGTTTCTGTCTTTTATTTCAAAATAACTACACATGGTGCCATTAAGACAACACCATACAGACCCAGCATATGGTAAACTTGGATTATATTTTGACAATAATCCAGGCTTTAGCTACCTGGTCATATATGGTGGAACACCAGTCTGCTGTTCTATCCCAGATTTAGAAGTCTGACACTGGTTAGAAATTCACCAAGGGTGACGAAAAAGACAACTTCCTCCACAGACACAGACCGATGACTTGGGTCATGCGTGTGGATCTTTTTGGAGTTCTGCATGTAATCCTGTGAATACTTGGTTTTTACTGTTTGCTGTGCATGTGAGCGCACGCTGCTTACCGTGTGGCAAACATAGCTCGGAGGGAGGAAAAGGTGGCGGCGTCTTCCTTCAGCGCTTTCAGCTCATTTCTCAGTTTCATCATGGTCTCCGTCACCATGGCCTTCTCATTCTCGTACTTGCTCTTCAGATTGGCCAGTGCAACTTCAGCTGTCTGAGAGAGGAAGAGAAGAACAAATGGCTCAGAGCGGCTCGGAGAAGTCCGGGTGGGTTTCTTCCTACCTTTGTTAAAGTGGACCATATGACCTGCTTTTTCTGTCATGTGTAAACATTTAGGACTTGTTTTTGGTCGTCAGCTGCTGAAGTTAAAACCACGGCTGGTTTTATAAGGAATTTTCATGTGTTCTAAAGGCCGCCTTGCGTCCACCCACATAGTTTAAAAGGGTTCCTGCAGCAACTGTTTACACACCCTGCCTCATGGCCACGCTTCTTTTTGCATTGCGTGGCTGCTCTTCTGTCAGCGCAGCCAGCTGACGCCACACGGCTCCACAATAGATCTCGTCTGCAAGCTCGTTTGTCTGGACAGCTGAGTAAACCTGAAATTGTTTCCTCTTTCACCCTGCCTTTCAAGGACTTTTGATGGCAATATCAAGCTATCTGAACAGACTGTAACTGTAAGAGATAAAACAAAATGAAGAAGATAAAAAAAGCCAACCGACCTGCTTGTTGGCCTTGAGGACGGTGCGTAGAGTGGCAATCTGTTCCCGCTTGGTGCTGAGCAGGGACTTCAGCTTGAGGATCTCCTCCATGCAGGCCTCCTTGTCCTTGTCGGCCACAGAGCCAAGCTCCAGAGAGGCCACCCTCTGGCGGGACAGCTCTGTGGTGCGATCCACCGCCAGCTGCAGGTGTTTGATCTGGTCTCTGATGATGGCCACCAGGTTGTAGATGTTCATGGGCTCACGGCGGTGGTCGGACACGGGAGACGGCAGGGAGGAAACCGGGGAAGGGGCTCCCTCGCTGAGGTCGGCCTTGGCAGGCTCGGGGAAAAGACCCTTGGTGAGCAGGATGGGAGAGCGCCGGCCACGGCCCTCTGGACTGCTCCGACCACCCTTACCCTCTTTGTAGAAGTCCAGCATGACCCGGTTGGGCGTTTCGTTGTTGCACATGCAGACATGGTTGTAGAGGGTAGCCAGCTCTTCACTGAATGTCACCAGCTCATCCTGGGCCACGCTCAGGCTTCCCTGGGATTCGCCCGCGACGTCGCTCAGCTGAGGACACGCACAGAGGAATGGATTAGTCAATGAGGGTAAGACAGCATGGAGCAAAATCTTAAATCAGCACATCTGTACATCAGTGTCACAGGCAACAGCTCACCTTTCGCAGCTCTTTCTCCAGCTTAGCCTTCTGTTCTCTGTCTGCATTGCTGGTTTTCTCCAGAGAGGCGAGCTTCTCTCCCAGGGTTGTGACATCGTTCTCCAGCCGGGTGCGCTCCTCTTCATAACGTGACTGACAGGTCTGGTATTCTGCCTTCAGAGTCTTCAGTTCCTCCTTCAGCTCTCCCGCCTCCGACACAGCCACCTTTGTAAAAAAAAAGAAAAAAAAAAAGAAAAGAAGAGTACGATTGTAACTCATTCTTTAAAAACGTCTTTAATGTGGCATGTTTTGCCGCCCACTCTCACCTTGTACTTGCACTCCAGGATTTCAGGTCCGTTGATGTCCACCTCGTAGTAGTCGCCGTCTTCGTTGCTGTCCCGTTCTTTCTCGTTGTCTAAGGCAGACTGGCGCTCCTTGCTGGCCTGGAGTTTGCGCATGGCATTGAGGTTCTCTGTGAGGCGGTTAACCTTCTCCTGATGCTCTGACAGAGCCCCATTAGCCTGCTCCAGTTGTTTCTGAGAGTCCTGCAGATTGCTCAGCAGGTTGACCTTCTCACGCTCCATCTGAGAGGAGACAGAGGTAAGACAGGTGATGATAATTACTACAACACAAGCCATTTCATGTTTTGATAACCTCCTGACATTAAGAAGCACATATTAAGGTGAAATGAAAATAGAACGATCTATCCTGTGGTAGCCTGACACGCTATCATAGAGCACTGACAAAGTATGCAAGGCATTCTGCCATCAGGCTCAGCATCAGTGAGGGTGACTTTGAAAGTGTATCAGTCCAGCTCAGCTGTGGCATAAACCCTGAAAGGGTCATCTTACCCACATGCACACCCTGGTGCCTGTATCAGCACAGAGTTATGTGTCACAGTAATGCCCACGTGCATGCATCACTTATGAGGGCACAATGCATGTATTTTATTAGAGCTACTTTCAACAATGTGCAATGAGGGTTGATTTAAAAAAGAGGTGGGGAAAAAAAATACTCTGGAATCACTGTAGCACATCAATATTTATGCTGAGTGAAAGACTTCACACAGTCTTCAGAAACACTGTTCAGCGAAGTACAAAAAAGGTGATGCTCAATGATTTGACATCCAGAACATAGAGAAACAGAGTAAAAAAACAAACAATATTTCTTTCCAGGATGCTTCCAGGTCCTGATAATTAAGGATTTTTTCAGACTTTACAGATTCCTCCATCACAGTCCCATGTAGAGGAGAAAAGAAAGTAAAAAAAAAAAGAAAAAAAAAAGAAAGACGGTCATCAGTGAGAAGTTAGCATGACTATCTGGTGACCGTGGTGCCCATTCAGGCGTGATCTTGGACTCGTGTGGTGATGAGCAGGCAGATGGCAGGTCCTCTGGTGCCACCACCTGCTGCCTGGAGAACCCCGTGGAGCTTGGAGGGTGTGTGTGTGTGTGCGCGTCTCTCTCTGGATTAACTTAGCAGTAATGGGATTTAGATCTCTGCAGCAGACTGGGGCAGCGTATAGTGGAACACTCACTTGTCAGACACACCTAAGGCTGAGGCAAATCTCCAAGTGGGTGCTTTTTTTTAACCATTTGATCGCATTAGTGTAACAGTGCAATAAAACAAAAAAAAACAAAAAAGTCTTCAAGAATGGTGCCGCTTAACTTTTGTTCAAAATAACGCGAGCACCACAGGACGACAGAAGAGTGGCGTACAACACTTCGCTGTTACCAGAGCAACACTGCTTTCTTGGTGGAGACCAACACAAACCTGCATCAGCTGCTGCTTGAGCTTCTGAATTTCTGAGATGTTGAGTTCGCTCAGCAGGTCGTCGACCAGGCTCGGCACCGGGCGGAAGAGATCCTCCTTCTTGGGTGTGGAGATGCGGTTGTCATCGGCGATGGCGTTGGCCAGTTTGGTGAAGCCGTTCTCGTACTCCAGGAGAGCCTCGTCGTTGTTGGGCTCGGTCGCAGCATCGTCGCTGAACTTGAGGCCATCCAGAAAAATGCTAAGAGGACTGTGGGGGAAAAATTATTTGTCGGTCATTTGGCGTCGCAGGCTGGAAACAACAGAGCACCATGTCTGTGTGGTATCTTTACCTGTTGTACAGAGTGTCTCCAATGTTCATGTAGTGGGACAGCTCTTTCCTCAGGGAGGCTTTCAGCTCACGCTCAGTCTTGATGGTCTCCAGAGCCTCGCCCAGCTGACGCTCGGCGATCTCTTTTAGGCGGATGGCGTCCTCCAACTGGCTGTTAAGGAACTGAGTGTCTTCCTCCAGTCGACGGATCTCGTGCTTCAAACCCTCAAACTCCACCTGGAATCAGAAAGGGGCAACAGCTCTCACGAATTGGGGAATCTCAATTCATGTGAATGACTACACAAATCTAGTGCAATAAAAGATAAATAAGATGGCTTGAGTTGATGTGAAACCAAAGAAAACAACAAAAACAGTGAATATTTAAAGTAAATTAGTTGCATCTGTTGTTTTTTCAGCTTGTAATAAATGTGTTACACAATCCCAAGCACAGGGGTGGACCAGGAAAATGAAATGTCCCTGCTGGAATAGCAACTGAACCTAATATGTGTAGGAAGTGTTAAAGTGTTGGATTGTTTTTTTTCTATAACAGACGAAAGCTGCTGTGTCTGTCACATTTTCAACTACATGGCAGCTTCAGGCGACTGAAAAAAGACAAAGCCAGCTGCCTACCTGCTTTGTAACTTCTCGCTCTGAGTCTGTAGTCCCTCCATTCTAACCACGTTTTGCCACTCTCACCTGGCTCTGCTTGAGCACGGACACTTGTTTCTGCAGTGAGATGTTCTCCTCCTCCAGCTCGGTGTAATCTTGCAGCAGAATAGTCTCCCGTAACTTGTACTCCTTGATGTCATCACGCAGCTGATTCCTCTGGAGCTCCACAATCTGGCTGTTCTGTAAGGCCAAACAAAGAGGACGCTCAGAAAGGAGTTGCCAGCATTTTTCTTTTCAAGCCAACGTGTAAAAGATCACACTTTACTGATTGATTGACCGATTGATCAGACAGAGGCTTGAGCACACCCGTGTGTGTTTTATTGGCTGCTAAACACTAAATCTTGCTAAATAATAAAAGCGCCCATCTGGCTGGGCCAAATGCCTGTTTGAGAAGGAGGCAGCTGGTGTCTCTCTGGGAAACGGGCCACACATGTTCTTGTCTGCCGGTTCTAATGACACCACAGATTGAAGCCTGCTTATCTCTTTCTTTAGGTATTCAGCAGGTGAGAAGCTTTACAATGATCTCATTTCCAAAAAGGACGTCTCGGTGGCATTAATTCTCTGTACCAGAGTGCTAACCAGCACAGTGGTGCGAGAAGTGGTGCAAAGCTGCTGGAATGCTACGAGTGTGCGCCAGGAAAGAAATGTGCAAATGTATGCAGTATTAAAAAAACATGCTTTATCAATATTCTGCTTGCATTTGCTCCTCATGTTCAGTACACTCTTTTTCATTAATCTTACTGCCCAAGAAAGCTTAATTTAATATGAAAAAGAGGGCCGAAGCATGCACTCTTTGGGCATCCTCAACCCTCTCCTAGAGTCAACCCAAACAAATTGAAATACGTTTGTGGTGACAAGACATCCTGCTAGTCGAAACAACCTTTTAATGAACGCATTTTATAGAAGGAGTGACACGCATGTGCTCACACGTATGTGAGGGCAGAGTTTCAACTCCCAGCACTCGGCTCGTGCTATTATCTGCTGTCACGTTAATGATTTTGTACATGTGGTGAAGCATGTACAAGTTCGGTGCTTCTGTGTCCTGGCAGAGCTTCCAGAGATGATCTCATACCAGACACACAGTTAACCTCCCGAAGCATGGCCAGTTTGTTCCGTCCTCTCACTCAACCATCATTTGGCTGCATCACAATCCCTGCTCTCTGATCACTCAGATTCAGCCACGGGAAATCACTCTTGAGGTTTCACTTTGCATCTCACCATCGCCTTGAGATTAAACACACATCAGCAGCTTTAACATCCGGAAAACAGTGAAACAAGCTTGTGCTGACAGCACATCTTCACGCCCATAACGAACTTTCTAATGTCTATTTGGTCATTAGTTTGCCATTGTTCGCTGCAACACGCTCAAATTCCACTGTAGATAATGACCTTGTGACACACGGCTCATAACTGCTGCACAGTCATGAAAAATGCACCCTCTGAAACAAACAATGCCAAAACCTTTCAATAAAGTGACTCATGAGATGGTAAAAACGTATTTCTTTGTTTAACAAATGACTATCATTTGGTTTACAGCAGAAGAAGTGTAGAAATCTGTTGCTATATCCCCCCTGGAAAGGAGTACTTGCTTCTTGTTAACTGTATAATAAGGAGTCAGGATGTGCAGAGTTTCACTGGGGCTGTCGCTCTAAAGCGCATTAATATTCATCCGGGTACTGCGCATGTCTGATGAGTGTGACTGTTTGCGGTGCTAAAAGCCGTCCTCTTGGTGTACCACTAAATAATGTAAGAGCTGAGAGGAAGAGTCGGTCTTCTCATTGATCTTCAAAGCAGCAAGACAAGAACACTGAATAAAAGCAAAAGAGAAACAAAGTATCGAAAACCTCAACGTCTTAGTAGCATAAAATAACAGGGATCATTAAATAATTATGGCTGTGGACATAACATTAGAATAATCACTCGCTCTTTTTTCTATTTAATCTAATTCTGCACAGCTGCGCCAGTGCCCCCCCACCCCACTGGTCAGGGTTATGTGACTCAGCTGTTGGGTCAGATCTGTTCAGTCCAGATGAATAAGGGCTGCCACCCAGCCTTATTAGGGATGCTTCTCCAATTTGATTAAAACACACAAGGCTTTGACCCTTCTGCATCCCCCGATACACAAAACCTCTCAGAGCAGGAAGCAGGGCAGATGAGGTCGTGAAGTGTTAAAAACAATTCATTGGGAGAGGGACGTGGGACTCTGGGGAACATTTCTGATCCATCAAAATATTTATTGTGTCTGTAAGAACCCGGGTGGGATGCTTTAAGGTGAAGCTTTTTGGTGAGACACCACAGGACCACAGGCTTGTGTGAGGTCAGAGGCTGTTACTTTTGTCACCACAGGTGAGATCCGTACAGCTGTCTCAGCACGGCCACACACATGCAGAAAAACACCACTTCCGAGGAAAGGAGGTGGGTTTCAAAAAAAGCTGTGCTTGCATCGGCATATTTTCTGATGAAGGACAAACGACAGCTTTCAACGTCATGCAGGGGCTTTAAAAATCTCAATAGAGTATTATGGCATCCTTGGGCTAATACCCCCCCAAAAACCTTTTTTTCCCCAGTAACAGCTTTTACTGCATAGCGGTGCTGAGGCCTGCATGAATCCAACCAATGGCTTAAAGTACATTTTAATTGAGTTCAGAACCTCTGGTTCTGAGGGAAATGGCTCAATAAACCTTAGCGACAAAGTTTTAGGCTTCACACAAGGGAAGATTGCGAATGTATAATGCCTCTTTACGGACTCTGCAGTGTTTGAAATAACTCTATGGAACCTCGCATGTATTGATAAAGGAAAGGGCCTCTTGCCCTTGGTTCAGCTCACTCAAAATGCAGCGCCCACACTCCCAGATGGAGGAGGGCTGCATTATTTATATATAGTGCAGACAGGCTTGATAGAAAAAGGATTTTTCCTTCTTTCTGTCCCTTGCCCTCTAATTTGCTCTCCATCATCCTCCTCATTTTGCCCTTCGGTAAAATCCACATGTGCCAGCTTTATTTGATCAGAAAACATACTCTGCAAAGTGCAGCGGCTCCCAGGCGGCATGGCACAGTGAACATCAGCTCAATAGTGCCTTTCTCATCATCAGTTCCACGTACAGCACCACCAGCACAACACCCCTCCATTTCACCATTTCAGCCGTTCTTATTTATACAATCTCCACTGCGCCTCCATCTTCCCAGCACGAGTGTGTGTTTGCATTGCTGAGAGGTGAATTCCTCATAAGAAAAAAAAACAAACAAAATGTCCTGCAGGCTCCACGGAAAGCCAAAGTCAAGTCAGTTCATGTTGAATCCTCCTCTACCAAACCAAACTCAACCCATAATTCTCTTCAGGAGATACAATAGCTGACGCCGTGCAGTTTTAAACAAAGAAGAGGAATAATAAAGCCCGGGGGCATCGTAGCACTGTCAAAGCTGAGAAAGCGGGTGAAGGCGGATCTGCTTTTATCCTCATCTCTGCTGCAGGCAGCTGTCATTCTATCCACCCGACCCAGGCTCCATTAGGGGGGAAACACACAGTTCAGGCCGGTGAGTTAAAAATGCAAAAAGGAAGGGAATCTCACTCGCGAGTGTGTGCCTGGTGATAGGTCGCCCAGTGTGCGGCAGCTGAAAGGCCCTTGGGGTGACACAGTGCCATCCTGCACTTAGCTGTGAATTAGGGATTTTGAGGTCACATGGATGAGAGTGGACAAATGTGTTAACACCCATTACTGGAAGTGAATGTGTGGGTCCGCGTGTGCGCTCTTGTTGATTTATTAGTGCCCATTGATCTGGAATACAAAACCTCTTTAGTCCAATGCAACAGTGGCTGAAATGGAAAAAAACACACCATTACAGGCATAGTAAGGGATCGATGGAAGCCTCCTGAATGAATTCTAGAAATGCATCTTAGAAAAAGCCATCGATCCACTAGAAATATGGCAGATGAAGCAGCTCTTTGAGCCGGAAACAGGATCAGTACCCAGATATGTGGAGCGGCTTGACAACAGCTGAAGCCGCTATAAAAAATGGAAACATGCATGTGTAGAATAGCTTTGTTCCGCTACTCCTTTTCGCATTCTACTGCTCCACTGTTTTCCTTCTCGGATCGCATTTTCCTGGTCCATCTTTACCTTCATTTGTCTTCCCATTCTGCCCCCCTTCCTCCCGAGCTAGCATAGAAATGGAGGTGATCTGTCTCGGCTGTAATGTCACAAGAAATAATAATGCAGTCAACATCAACACCCCGGAGCTCTGCAGGGCCGGGAGTCCTATTACATTAGCCTCGCGGCATCAGATGATTGCAAAAGGGAACAAAGGGCGACTCTGCTTGGAGCTCAATACTGCTCAGCTCTGACCCTTCAACAGTCAAGGTGAGGCTTCAGCTCCTGTACACATCAGCTCCAGCATGTAACGGCTGAAAGCCTGAAGCTTCTGACTCCTATTTCACCAGCTTGCAATAAAAACAATGGCCTGGCTTATAATGAGCTTCAAGCCTACCATCTCCATCCGTGAAAGCTTACTCCTTTGATACGAACAGCGTCTCAAAGCCTCGTGCACTCTTTCGGTGAGGTGGAAAAACCAGCAGCGTTTAACATTCACAATCCTAGTGATGAAATAAAATCAGTGTAATTATTCTGTGAGGGAAAAAGGGGTTTTTTCAGAAAAAAAACAGGAATGCACATTTGTAGGTCCAGTAATGGAGCACAAAATCATCTGTGAATGCTAAAAAAACGTTGGTTACTAAAGTGGAAATAATTTGTCTGAGCGTCATTTGAGAGTAAGGATTGACGGAATAACGCTGACGACATTTTGAGCATTCCATTCTGTGGCTTTGTTCTGGTCATTTCCAGAGAGACAGCCTGTGGGACTCCCTTTTCTGAGGATAATGGTAAGCATCAATATCGGCACATTCTTCTCAAGACATAAGACTGGATTTAATGAAGTCATGCCTATTTGAGAGCGCCTCCTTACTGTGTTACTGGCTCTTTGTGAGGGTATAATCCTATAGAGCGTGCCACTGCAGGGAGAAGTGTCTTATCAGTGCTTTGGGCTATCATTTGAGTCTTTGACATGAGAGGGAGAGCCTGGGAGGTTTAAATGTGATGTGATGTTGTTGCTGTAATGGCGCTGAGAGAATTGACAATTGAATTGACAAACTTCCAACTGTCTGCATTATGTTGTGGACAAAACGTGGAAAAATTCTGATTTCTGTTGCTATTGAACGCTCTGAATTCATCGTGAGATTCTGATGTACTTCGTAGGGGTGCATGGGTTGAAATAAAACCCGATTTAAAACAAACACAAAAGGCTCGGGTTGCAGCCTAACCGTCAGTGGGTTCCCATGACAGAGCTAAGTCATTCAGTTCCACCCCTGACTCGATTTAATTAGCCATGCTGTCTTAAAGAAATCAGGACTGTACAACACTGGGAATGAGTTTACTCTAACGGTTTAGGCCTTCCTCTCTCCTCTTCTCCTCATCTCTAAGGACCCCCCCCTACTTTCCAAGCTTGAGCTTTTGGGCTAATTTGGAATCCTGAAGACAAAGGCCTCTTTCAGGCCTGGTGGATTGGTCACAATGCCAGCCTCAGTGCCCGGGCTCTCTCCATTTGCCCACCGCACACACGCCCAGCACCCGCCCGAGTGCCATTAAAATGGGTGCCATTATCTCCCATACATTGGGCAATTTACACCTCCAGAGCCTTTTATCTGACCAATTAGAGCAGTGGGTGCCCCACAGCAACGCAGCGGGGTGAGCATGAAGCAGGCCACCTGGTAAAGCTGTGCAATAGAGCTCTAGCAAAAAAACAAGTGAGTATCCTTCTTAAAGATAGCAGGACTGAACCACCTCAGGCGTTGTTTTCAGAGCTGTAATGGTTTGTTTAAAGTCATGATGTACAGGTTGATACTTGAAAAATGACTGGAGGCTGCAGTGGAACACTAGCTCAGTTTCAAAAACACGGCTGGTGAGGCACATCTGGCTTCAGAATGACCGGCCTTACACCAGCACACAGCAGCTGACCTAATTATGGGGGGATCTGGAGAACTTAAGTTGTTTTGAGGGACATGCCATTTTTAGGTCTTTTACTAATCCCAGTAATAAGCACTGCTGACATCTGTCTCGAACTGCGACTCACATTTAAAAAGCACTAAATACAGCAGCCGTCTGCCATATCAGCAGGAGAGGTTTTTCTCTTTTTTTAAGACACGGTTAATTTTCAGTTTATTCATTTATCCGCAAGTTTTATGCCTGACCTGCAAAAAAGTGGACTAAGCTATCTGCCATACGCAGACATGGGAAGATGGGCTTAACAATCTGAGAGGCAGAGAATTAATCTGGAGCAGGAAAACACAAAGAAGATGGACCTAATACCATTCAGTAGAGGGAAACATTGGGTGGGCCTGTTGGATCCTTAAACAGCCTTGAAGTGCAGATATAATGAATGAAACATGCATAATAGTACTTGTTTTATTATGTGACCAAAAAATGCAGCTGCACAGATGTTTATTTGATTATCTTTTTTTTTTGCCTATTAAATGGATGCAGTGCAAAATCAATGACAATGTGGTTTGAAGAGCCTGTTCCCTCCTTTCTTGTACTGCCAAACTTCTCCAACAAGCAGCTTCATCTTCAGCCTCCTTCATCATTATTCCGTCTTTGACTTGGCTGTCAATGGAGGACGGACCAGGGCATCAAAGAAACCTGATGAAAGGTGGGAGGCCCCCTCTGCCCTCCTGTCAGACTCTTCTCCTCTCTTCCCAACCCCTCATGTCTCTTATTCTTTATTTCAAACAGGCTTCTACAAAGCTCTGTAAATATACGAGGGCCATTTCAGCCTCTGCGGCTCCCTCGTTAAGATAATGCCCTCATCACCAGTGGCATCACACACCAGAGCACGTGTAGAGCGTAACCACTGGCACAGACACACAACCCACGCTCTGTGCCCTTGTCTCTTCTAATGGGGTCACTTAGCTGTGAATATATGTAAATAGCAGCAGGGAAGAGGCCAGACTTTGTCAAAGTGGGGCACCAACAATGATGGTCTGAAATATATTTGGACAAGCCGGTAGTAATGTGTGTTCACATTTATGGAAATGCTCTGAGGGTGGCTGAGGCAAACAGTAATGCCCTTGTCTGGCGTAGACTTTTTTATTAAAAGGAGGCATGTCTCCTCTTGCAGAGGCAACGTGTTAAACTCGATTAACAGTTTAAGATAATAATTAGTTTGTGTTCAGGTAGGCTCAATCCACCTTTTGTTGAGAGGAACATTTCCCATGACTTCAGTAAGTGAATTTCCTGAAACAACGATTCACCCAAGGGTGGAGAAACGTTATTATGGCCTCCACCTATGTCCCATTGTGCTTGAAGGCAAGGTGTTTCTGTAGTCATTACACAGAAAGGAACCTTGTCTTAACATGTCAAAAAGGCACGGCTTTGTGGCTGTGCCATCAAGGCCAAAATGTAATTAAAAAAGAAAAAAAAAAGATTAAAATAATGCACACACAAATGAAACGCAGTAAGGACACAATGTACATCTGTGAATCTTGCCGAAAGGCTTTGGATCTGTGCTTCAAAACTTGCCTGTGGGCTGAAGCTACAAGCTTCCCAGTTTCCTCATGGCATGCGTGGATATTTATCAGGGATGAATATCTGCTTGTTTCTGTAGCCTCAGATAAAAATAATTCCATGATAACATCAGTAAACAGGCTTGTTCTCAAACAGCTGCAGGCCAAAAAGCAACAGACTCCACCCTATATGCCTCGGCCTAAAAGTGGGTTCACTGAAGTCCTGCCCATCCTAACGGGCAGTAATGCTCCTTTCCTCTGGCCTCTCAGGGTGGTAATGTGAATACAAACCTCACCCATAAAACGCCCCTCTCACCTCTTTTGTTTCTTGGGAGATGGCATTAAGGCGTTCATTCTCAGACTGGGTGTTGGTGAGGATGTTTCGTGTCAGCCGGAGCTCGGTCTGCAGCTCCAGAACCCTCTGCTCATAGTAGGCCTCCTTACAGGCGGACTCCTGGATTAGAGACTCCTCCCGGCTTTCCCCATCCGCCGCCACCTTTCTGTGGTTGGAGTAAGCTTGTCCAAAGGCCTGGGGATGCAGAGAAGGTTGACAAAGGACGACTAGTTAGAACTTATAACGTCAAGAGATATAATGATTTAAATCATTTCTTGTTCACTGTTGATCAGTGCTCCTAAAAAAGAGCCATTTCAGTGACACTGATCTCCTCTTGTAAGGTTCAGCTGAGGGCCGTGGATCAGAAGCTCCAAAAACACAGCCGTCGCTCTGCTGATATTATCATTTAGTCTCCATCTGGGCTGCATCAGAGTGTCTTGTCCCCATCCCCCCCTGCTCCCGCTGCAGGATGCTGGCCTTCCCTGCACGTGCGCTGCCGTGACTCCACAGATGGAAAGTCAAATAGGAAAAGTAGAGTAAATGCATTCTTGTCTGAGTAATCACGAGAGCCCCGCTTTTAATACTCTTAATACCTTGGCAAAGGAAGGTCAGTGGATGAAATGAGAAGCGGATGAACTTTATGAAGATTAAATAACTATCGGGGACATGGCTCAGGCCTCCCACTTCTGTAGGAGGGTATTCAGGGTTAAAAAGCACCGGAGGAGCATCCAGTGTGAATGAGAATAAGGATCATTATTCTTAATGCGGTCGTCATTTGGACCTTTATGCGTCATTAGCCTGCAAGGCAGTCACAACAAATCATGGCCAAGGCGACAGACCTACGCGGAGCTCCACTCCAGCAGGATGTAGGTTAGATTATGCCCTCCTTTTTCATCATAATCGCCCTCCTGATTACAGATTTCATTTCCAGTGCTGTTACCGCTGGGGATCGGATGAAAACGCCGATTCTCATCCTGCCACTGGTGTGTGCAGGCAGTAATCTGAAATCACCTGAGGGACTGAATCTGACCTTGTTTGCCGCAGCAATGCACACTCCCCTCTGTCTGATCAGCCACCCCATTACCCTGCACGTGACTGAGAGCTGCAGGATTTTCTCCATTTGACTGAGTATCATAATAATCCCTGTAATTCCTTCGTGGAGAGGCGAAAAAAAGCTGTTGTATTTGTATTAGTCAAACTGACCTACTTCCAGGACCTGGAGGAATACGTGAATGTGCAAAAGTAGTTTGGTGGGCTAAAGAGAAGAATGACATAAAGCCTGGAGAATTGTGTGAGAGCTGTGTAACATTTCAGTCAGGCAGGGATTCTGCATGGAAGAACAGACTCATTTCTGTTAGAAAAAGGAGCCGAAACTTCATGAATCAATTTATTTGTCCATATCTATAAGATGATAACAAAAATTTTAATCAAACAAAGGCTAGCTTTTCAACTTAGAGGATTTGTTCCTTTTATGAGTTTAACCTAGAAGTTAACAAAACTGAATGGCGTTCAGAGCTGGCATTTAAATGAGTCAGTCCACTTGCAGACCTCATCTCTGGCTTACAGTTTGATCAAAACATTGTGTCTGACACCCACAGAACTATATTTTGTACTTTTCTAATTCATTGGCAGACACGTTTAGAATAAAAAAATGAACTTAATGGTTACTTTGCCTTTAACTCAAACAGCTGGGATGGGCTGTGCAGGAAATGACATCACCAAGGTCAAAATGAATGCTCCACAACAATTCCACAACGATCTGTTAATAAACAACTATTGTTGGTAACTATAGATAAGAGTGTCAGTTACACACAGTGCATGCCTCTCCAGCCCATCCTCTAACCCCAAACCACACCAGCAATCAGCAGGAGGCTGTTTGGAAGCAGGAGGCTGTATTTGATTAAAAAGTCATTACAGTGACAGGATTAACCCAATCAGAAATCAGGGGAATCCCATCATTATAATCGCAATGCAAAGTTGCTTCTTTGGTCAATCAATCTAACTTAAGAGAGCCGTCCTTTAAACAAACGGAGACCTCCACCAAAACCATCTATCCCAGTGACTCTAATCTTATCTTCCCAAGCATGGGTTTAGGCTTCTTTAAGGTTAGGATGGCCTAATGGGCACGCAAACAACAAAGCCTGTAATCTCACAGCCAGCAGCCCATCCGGTTTAAAATTCATCTTTTTCTAGCCATATGCTGCTTTATTTTAAAGACTCTGGATATGGGGATGTGGATTATTAATCTCTTGTGAAGCCAATCAAAGGCATGTCTTTGGTTGTTACCATGCTGTCTGAAGTGGAATTCATCATGATGACTACGACTGACATTATGACACTTTTAAAAGAAAAAGTCAGAAATATTTTTTTCCCCACATTTCTTAACTGCTCGGGTTAAACCGAGCAAACACAAGGACCAGCTGGAATACCAATATCATCACACAGGTTTCTATGGCAACGGTTTATTTCACACTTAACAAAAACAGAAATAGAACCATGAACGTGTTATATGACAATGGCTGCCTGTGTGTGCGCGGGTTCACACTTGCTGGAATATGGTGTGTCCTTTAATCTGACCAAAAGAGTGTTCGGAGGCAAAAGCTGATTACAGGGTACGATCATTACTCAGAGGGGAATCCCACCTCTCTCTGAGGTCGTGATTCTGAAAACGACAGCTCCAGGCCAGGCTCATGTCCAGCATCCTAAGGGGTGTAGCTAACTTTAAGCATGGTAAATATAAGCCGCAGAGTTCACTTTAACTCCTGTTCACGCTTCACCCACCCTGTGAGACGAGAACAAACACAGGAAGAAGGGCTTTGTGCCTCGGACATGCAGCAAGCAAATCAATACAGCCGGTCTCCGAGGCGCTGTGGAGCTGATGCACACATCCAAAGATTCCGTTTTTAGTCTTAGTGCTGCAGGCCAAAAAGAATGTTTTGTGGGATGTGAAGTAAAAATTATCATGTTTCCATCAAAGCTACTGTACGACCACATTAGATTTTATGGGTCATGCATTTCAGTTCATTCCACTGAGGTTTTTAAAAAACTTTTAAAAACCTCTATATTCTATTGCCTTAGAACAAAAACCTCTTCCCATGTACATTAGACCAGAGCCATGTCTGATCAAAGCCTGATCACAAGTACAAGCCTGGACTTAATGACCAGAGGGAACATGTACTGGATAATGGAGAAGTCATATTGGGCAGACAGTCCTCAGTCCTTCAAAAAGTAGATCTTCCAAATAACTCACAACACACCCTTGACTTTAAGTAACGTACAATGTGAGCGTAAGGCAAAGGCTTGAGCAGAATGTGGGCTGAATCAGAACGGATTCTCCTGGGCAGGATTTTCGGGCCACGAGGAGCCTACGAGAACAATAATGCCATGCCGCTGGGATCAGCTCAGTCACTCATACTCATACACAGATGGCGGAGAGAGCCGCAGATGACCTCGGATTTCAAAGCAGTGATTCAGCAGCGCTTGGAGCCGGTCAGTGTTTGGGACTGCCGTAGCAGGCGGCCGCAGAGGGAGCTGGAGCGAGAACAGGCATGGAGGACTGGCCTGCCTCGTGAATCCCAGCTCACGTGGAGCCTCAGTTTATTATGATAAACTACCATTCTTTCTCCCTTCCTCTTTTTCCGTTTTGCCTCCATTCTCGCTGCTTCTAAATTTAGCTGTCTACTATCAACTGTTCAGAATACACATCTCCTGGGACCAGGGGTTAAAAGTCTCCTGCGAGCCAGAGGCTTCCTTTAACATGCATGTGTGGTTAGAAGTCGGATTGTGACCCACTGCTCTGCAATGGACAGCCTCCCTACACCATCCATTTATCCAGGAGACAAATGCCTACACGCGGCTTAAAACAATTCAAAACCTCTATATTTTTTGTGTAACTTAGTTTGCATTCCAACTTATCTGAAAACCACTGGCATCTGCTGTAATCAGTAACATAGTACCTAATCATTTACTCTCTTTACGCTCCTCGACGGGGGTGGGGTTTGAATGAAAGAGACACAGATTCACTTTCATCCTTTCACAAATCCATGGAGGTTCTGATTACTTTTGCAGTGCTGTCTTGTTGGGTACAGCTAATCTCCTCCTTGCAGTGCTGTCATTTCTTCACCGCATCGGCAACTTAAATGTTAGGCTGACGGAGAACAGAAAAGGAAGGAGAGGTAAAGAAGGAGGGGGGGGAGAAACGCTAGCCACGGAGGCAGAGATGTTGGCAGCTTCCAGGCACAGAGCCTTATTGATTCACTGCATAGCACAGAGCCGTTAGGCTATTATTCACTCACAGGCCTGGGCCTGCCTGTGAATAATACACACACACGGATCCCATTTGCGATTCTACCAGTGTGCCCTGCTTGCAGCCACACTGCGGTAGCTGGTGCTTCAGCCAGGCCGAGAAGCTCTGAAAAAAAGTGGCTTCCTCAAGAAGCCTGGATGAGAGCTGAAAAGCAAGAACCCTTATGATGAAAAAACCCAAAACAGCCTCCAGTTGTTGATCTACTGTGCTGCAGGCAGACGGGGTGAAAATACCCGATAGGACGAGGGGGGGGGGGGCGATGTTAGAAAGTCAACATGCAGACACCGATGTGCAACGCTCTGATCAGGCCCAGGAGGCTCTTTATACGTCCCATTGAAGAACCCGCACTCAACCATGAAAAATATCAGAATAGCATAATTGGGAGCTCAATGACATAGAGCTGCTACACCCACCCCCCCCCCCCCCACCCCCCCCCCCCCCGCTCACAGGAGGCTGCAATAGAGTGTTTTCATTTTCCACTTCCACTTCAGAAAGCTGCATTGGAGATTCTCTTCACATTCAAGCATAATCTTGATCTATGTTCACGCTCCATTTCTAAAGACTGGACCTCTGAGAAAAAGCATCTTATCCACTGACCGTAACCCTAACATCTGCAAAAATAGGACAGTCCACCACCAGCACGCTGTTTGTTTCAGGCTAAAGCCTACTTGTTCAGCCTTTACACCCATCAAAAGCCCTTTTCCCAGCCTTAATTGTAATATTATTTGAAATAACGATATACTACACATGACGACAGAGAGAAGTGCACATTCTTTTCCTATTTGAGTATAGCTGCATCAGCATTAACTACAAGAGAAAGAAAAAAAACAATAACCAGACTTGCTAAATTTCTTTTATTAGTGATGCTGATTTCGTCTCAGATTTTTTCACAGGAACAAAGAATTGTTCACTCTATGTT